CACTCACCACCACACAATGGAAGGACAAGCATGCACTGGATGGTCACAACGCTGCCTGTTGAGGAGGATCCACATGCTGAACCAAGGCTGGCAGGGTCACAGGCAGACACATGGCATGTGGAAGGTGGCTGCAGCAAGGTCTCCAAACACTGCCTCTATAGACTGAAGCCTCTGCCAGTGATCTGGTCCAAGGCAATCAGACTTCCACTCTCCGCTACATTCAGCTGCGAAAAGCCTGAGAATCAGCAAACAAAATGGCCTCCAGCAAGGTCCTCACAAATGGCTGCACCCAGGAAGACTTGTGGTGCAGCCAAAGGGCTTCCAAAATGGTCACGCCCAGTCAAAAAAACATGCTGCGTGGCCAGGCAATACTGCTGCAAGCTGTGCTGGAGCCAGACGGGTTGCCAAAGCCTCAAGCCCGCTGGTGAAGAACAGCCCAAGTGGAAGTCAGCAGTGTCCGGCAAGGCACCAAAGTCACGGGGCGGCTGAGAGCCAGCAGCATGAACCGGAAGGGAGCACAGGTGCAAAGCAGCAGTCCAATAAAACAATAAAGAACAAATTAGAGTAAAGGAAAAAATTCTAAGGAAACTAAAACTGTTAAAAAGGAAAAAAATATATGCTAAAGGAGCTGATCACTATAAATGCATCCTGATGGGCTGGACTGAATTGAAAAACTGGAGCTGCAAGAAGCCAGGAGGCGTAGCCAAGATTTTCAATCCAGTCCTTGGGCAGTGTCACAGAATTTAACCCATGCTTGGACACTCCAAGCAGTGCACAGGAGATTTTTTTTCCCCATATTATTCAGAGATGTTTTGTTGTTGACTGTTAAGACTCTCAAGGCAGGCACATTCAGGAAATAATCAATTGGTTTTTGGAAAATATATTTATTACTAATAGATAATGTAACAGAATTTTGAAATGCTAAAAAATAATTATTTCACATATACTTAGTACAGTTTAAGGGAATCTCTTCCTCATAGTTCATCCCCCCTCTACCTCCAGACTCAAGTATATTTAATATACAGGTAGTTCTCAATTTCAGATCACACTGAGCCCAAAAATTATTTTGGTAAGCAAGAGAGTTGTTCGGGCAGATTTGCCCATTTTATGTCATTGTGCCATGGTTGTTAAGTGAATCTGGCTTCTCCCTTTGACTTTGAAGAGCCAAGATGGCGCAGTGGTTGGGGTGCAGTACTGCAGGCCACTTCAGCTGACTGTTATCTGCATTTATTTAAACTCAATTGTTTTATCAATAAGCTAAAAGGCTTCTAACTAATCAACTCAGCATTCTTTAATTGGTCAACAGCCTTCATATATTATACTTGTTTGACAAATTAGCCAAGGTTGTAACAGCAATTGGAACTCAAGTAACAATAGGAAAAGTGTTTATTTGCTTAAAGCACCAACCCATTATACTGAGTGCCATTTTTCTTTGACTCTAAAGAAGTCTTGGGTAATCTAGACCAGGCAATCTTGGCCATGATTAGAACCATGATCCAATAGATCTGGAAGGCCCAGGATGGGGTAGACTTCTTTAAATAAGTTATCCCGATATACTCATTTGAGCCTACATTTTTCTCAGCTTCTTACGAAACGTGGGTGTTTTCCCCCTTCCTTTCCTGTAAAACCATCCTTAAACTCTATCCATTTCCTGGGCACATTTGACCAGAATAGGCTCATTCTGTAGGTATTTCTTGCATTGGCATCCTTCAGTCTCAAAAGACTATGGTGTCGTGCTCTGGAAATAGGTGTGAAAACCAGTCATAGGTCACTTTATTCAATGCTGTTGTAATTTTGAATAGTTACTAAAAAAATGGTTGTAAATCAAGGAATAGCTATAATGGCCTTGTTTCAACTCTAAACTGTCTTGCTGTTCCCTCTGTGTTCCCATGAATTGGTAGTAACTAATAGTTTAGAATATAACTCAATTCAGAAGGATTGTGACAGATTTGAACACTTAGCCTTACCCAACAAAATCTAATTCAGTAGTTAGAAAAGTATGGCCCTACACATAACCAAGAAAAATGCACAAGTAGAGAATAGCTGGTACCTCGCTCAACAGTAGCAATTGGGAGAGGGATCTAGATGTGCTAATTGACCACTATTTGAGTCAGCAGCATGCTGCAACAGTCAAAAAAAGCCAATGCAGTCATGGACATAGTTTCAAGATCATGTGACCTGGTCACCATGATACAAAAAAGTTTCTGAAGCACTAGAAAAAGTGGAAAGAAAAGCAATATAGATAATAAGGGATCTAGAGGTTAAATTATATAATGAATGATTGAGGGAATTAGGTTGGTTAGTTTAATGAAGAGGGGATTGGGGTGATATAATAGTAGTATTCTAATACTTAAGAGGCTGTTGACACATTGTCCAAGTATCAGAAGGCAGGACAACTAATGGGTGGAAGATTATTAAAGAGAGCTCCAACCTAGAATTAAGAAGAAATTTCCTGACAGCGAGAACAATTATCATATTTTTTGCACTATAAGACGCACCTGACCACCTAGGTTTAGAGGAGGAAAACAAGAAAAAATATATGAATATGGAGCACTGAGTATGGAGCAGCAGTGTAGTGAGGGCAAGAGGCAGAGCCTGAGAGGACCACACATAGGTGTCCTCTCATGTGCCAGTTCTGCCTATTGACTCCTGCACTGCAGAAAAGAGAAAGAAGATGCGGCACTGTAAAAGGACCCCGTTGCCGCGGCTTGGCTTCTATTCACCATATTCGCTCCATAAGATGCACAGACATTCCACCCACTTTTTTTTTGGGGGGGGGGAAGAGGAAATGTGACAAAGAGTGAAAAATACAGTAATCAGTGGAACGGCTCACCTCCATGGGTGCTCTATTTTTCTATCACTTCAAGAACAGACTAGATAGCCATTTTTGCAGAATGGTATCGTGTCTCCTGCTTGAGCACGAGGTTGGAAAAGACCTCCAAGATTCCTTCCAACCCCATTATTCTAGGTTGTTTGTGTGTGTGTGTGTGTGTGTGTGAGAGAGAGAGAGAGAGAGAGACAGACAGACAGACAGTATAAGAGAACCAGCTATAGCCTAATGTAGATTCTAACTACAGAATTTCTAAAAATAAAATTTCAAATAATAAGAATGCCAGAAGAAGGTGGAGACCCACTACTCTCTTTGTATACCCAACTGGATTGGAATATCCCAAAAGGACTGTAATTCCACTTAGCACTTACAGTATAGTTCAGATAAGGCCAAAAGTATGGCAGTTAAACTGCAAAGTATTTACACTGAGTAATTCCCACAATAGGAACAAAATTTATTTGCTATCTGACACTCCTCAACAATACTAGAGATTTATTTATGGTAGCAATCTGAAAACTGCCTTTGGATTATGGATTTCCTGTCTGGGATTTCTGCTCTCAGACGATCAGATTAGATAATCATATCTTTTCAGCCCTTATTCCTAACACTGGTACACCACAGGGTTGTGTGTTGAGTCCTTTATTCTATAGTCTTTATGTGCATGACTGCATTTCCACTCATGCTAGTAATACTATTACTAAATTTGCAGATGATACAACTATGGTGGGACTAATTTCTGGGGGGATGAGTCTGCCTATTCAGATGAGGTGGAATGGTTGCTGTTATGATGTGGAGACATTAACTTGATTCTTAACACAAATAAGACCAAGGAGATTATAGTGGATTGTAGAAGGAATAGATCAGACATCCAGCCTTTGCTTATCAATAGAGATCGAATGGAGCAAGTGGTCAGTTTTAAGTTTCCGAGTATTAACTTAAAGGAGAACCTGACTTGGGGCACTCACATTGCAGCAGTGATCAAAAGGGCCCAGCAGAGAATATACTATCTGAGACTTCTCAGGAAACAACAATAGAATAAAAAACTGCTATTGATCTTCTACTGCTGCATCATATAGAGTATTCTAACTTAATGCATTTCTGTATGTTCTGTTTGCCAATTACATTGTGGCAGATAGGACAGCATTCCAGAGGGTCAATATCATTGCCCAGAGGATCACTGGTTGCCCTCTCCCCTCTTTGGAAGAGCTTTATAGCTCCCGCTGCCTTAAGAAAGTTCAAAACATTCTCAAAGACCCATCTCATCCTGGGCACTTTTTAAAAAAACTATTACCATCTGGCAGACAGTACAGGATAATAAAAACAAGGAAAAATAGGCTGAAAAACAGCTTCTATCCCAAGGCAATAACCATATTGAATTCTATGGTATAGTGCAATATCGGGTTTTCAATTTCAATTATGTAGAATGTAAAGGATGCATGTTTGTGTTTTTATTTTTATAATTTGTAACATACACTGAAAACAGCATTTAATTTCATTGTACCATGTACAAAGACAATAAACTAAACAAAACAAACAAAAATTTGATATTTATCTAATCTTTTAAGTCATACAGATTTTTAGTGATAAAAAGAAAATGAGGAAGAAATTAACTCTTTGTCCCAATTTAGATTTTTTCATCTGGTATTTGAACCTCATTTAAGGTTTTAAACTTATTTAGGCAATTTTCTTGATTCTCAGTACAAGTAGTCCTCAACTTACAACAGTTCATTTAGTGACTGTTCAAATTTACAATAGCACTGAAAAGTCACTTATGACTGTTTTTCACAGTTATGGACCAGCGCAACATCCCCATGGTCACATGATCAAAATTAAGATGCTTGGCAACTGACTCATATTTATGACAATTGAAGTGCCCTGGGTCATCTTTTGCTACCTTCTGACAAGGTAAGGCAATAATAATAATAAAGCAATGGAGAAACCAGATTAACTTAATAACTGAGGCAAAGAAAGTCATAAAATGGGGTATAACCCACTTAGCAAATCTCTTACTTAGCAACAGAAATTTTGGACTCAATTGTAGTCATAAGTCGAAGACTACCCCTACTTTATAAAACATTATTATATATGGAAATCTGACCCCAGCTGTTATTGAATTATTTATAATTTTTACTATAATGTGAACAAAATTAAGATATATAAAGAACAGTACCTTTGTGATAGGAAGATCCTTGGATTTAGTCTCAAAAAGATGTTCTAATTTTGCAGTGTCTACTTTAATAGGCTCTAGTTTTGACCACAGGAATCCTTTGCAGTGTCTGTTTTTCTTGCACTGCCATTCAAATGGTCTCACCTCATTCCAAAAGAGACGGATGGTTTTCTTCTTTTTTATAAAGTTTGCTTGATCTCTAGGAAGTGGGGCTGACCCTAAACTTTGAGGAGTGCTTGATAGACATGGAGCCAATAAATTACCAAAAGGTGGGGGTGGAAGAGGACATCTATAAAGCAATGGAGGGGGTGGAGGAGGAAAACCTAAAACAGAAGGTATGGGTGGGGGAGGGGGAACCAGGGCATCACTAGGACTGATCTGTATGTCCAATATGTCAATATCATCCTCATCTCCTAAATCTGTGAAATCCATATCTTTGATTTTCAGTTTTCTTGGACTAGCCAAGAGTTGATCCCAAATAAAGTCAGATTCTGTTTTAACTTGCAGTGGTATTTTTTCAGGAATCTTTTCATTAAAATCATTTTCAGATAAATTAGAAATTTTGGCCACATCACCACTGTTGAATCTTTCCGTAAAAATCTTCACATTGCCTTGATTTTCCAAACTTCCAATCTCCATTTTTTTTAAACATTCATCTTTGGCCTGCTTACTAGTTTGTAGGACTGAAATCCTGCTGTGTAGGCTGATATCAGTATCTTCACTTGCATTCAACACCTTCTTTATATCTATCTTTGCCTCCAATTCTTTAACTCTTTCATCCTTGGTAAAAGGCAAATTATTATGGGCATACAGCATATCCAGCATGAACCGTTTATTGTTGAGGATGTTGTTGTACTGATCGTTCACATCATCATCTTGTATGGATTGCAAACATGGGCCTGAAACATTGAATAGTAATGAGACACATTTGCTGAGAATCTATAAAAAATAGAATTGTTTTCAACATGGAATAAACTTGATAGTCAGAAATGACATAACAGAACTGTAAACCTATTTAATAAAATGGGAAAGGGATATATGCTTAAAATAAAGGGGAGCAGAATGACAATTTTTCATGCTTTAGTTTAAAAAATGAATGAGATTCATAGAAAAACAAGATACATCCATTTAAAATGTATTTTATAAGGTAAGAGACATTAGTATCTGAGTTTAAATAACTAATGTGAGAAAATTGTACTATCTAATTAAAGAATCCAATAAAAATAATGAACACTAATATTAAAAATAATAAAAGTGATGTTATCTTAGTTCATCTTTTATCTTCTGATATAATAGGTATTGCATTCCAAATTTATTTTCCAATGTCTAAACCATAGGAATATAATATGTTATGGGGGATGTCAGAATGTGATCAAAGAACTATGTGATCTTATGTTTTATACACTTTTAGGAAACTACAGAAATGAGAAAACAGACTCAACTTTTTTTTTTTAAAAAAAAACCAAATGTGAAAATTACAAAACTAAATAGTACAGCAAGAAAAAAGGCTTCAATTTACCGGCTTTATCTTTATTGCTTAGTTTTTGCTCTGGTTCTTCTCTCTCTAAAGTGCTGCTTGCTGAAGAGAGGCTGGATGCTGAGCAGTTGTCTTTTTCATTCAAATCTTCATTTTGCCTTTCTTTTTCACTTAATGCCCCTTCTTCTCTCTCTGGCTCTCGACCCACTTCTACCTCTGCACCTTTTACTGCTATGAGTGTTGTTTCTGTTCCCTGATTGAACTTGGTCTCATCTTCCAGTTCTGATTTTGTTTTTTTCTTGGCTTCAGGTTCAGGTTCACATTCAGGCTGACTGGCATTCACTGGTGAAAAGAATAATGGAGAAATATTTCCTTAACAGCAATTACAGAACAACAATTTGAAGCCCTGGCAATGCTTACATGAATCAAATCTAGTCATATATTGAAGTTTATACATGTTATATCTCAAATGTATGGCTAATATATACATAATTTTTAAAACATATATTTTATTAGTTTTTAACCAACAATATCATGTAAGTATATTAACATAAATCCAAGATACATACATAGAAAAAGGGAAAAAGAAAAAATAGAGAAAAGACAAAAGAGATCTACGGCAATGAGAATAAAGAGACAGATACTGTACATATAAATTCATTAAAGAGAGAGAGGGAGGGATGGACGTAGGAAGGGAGGGAGAGAGAGATGGAGAGAGAATTTACTTATTAATTAAATTTATATACCCACTCATCTAAGGTGACTTTGAGTGGCACACAATCATAGATAAAAAGCAAAGATATAAAAACACCAATTGCAATATGAAAATCCACAATGATAAATATCATAAACATCAAATAATAACTGAAGGGAAAATAAAAAATGGCACTATGAGTAACAGAGAGTTGAGTTGAGTTGAGTTTATTCAATTTGTAGGCCGCCCTATTCCCTGAAGGGACTCAGGGCGGCTGAACAAAGCCAAGGGAGGGGAAATTACAAAAAGTAAGACAAA